GGGAGCGCTGTGGGGACATTGATCGTATAACTGGATATACGAATGCCACAATAAGGAAATACTGCTACAATAATTCTTATCTGGGCGGGTCTCGAAAATTCCGATCGAATCGATTCAAGTGGAACGGAGATGAAATCAATGTTCAGTTCATCGAGGAATCACTGTAACTATTTTATTCGAATTACGGCGATACCTACCCGAAAAGCTTAAAACCGACGGTCGTCAGTGGGTTTAAATGGTATCTGACATTTAAATGGTAGCTTACATGCCGCTTAGGAGATAACCGGCCGGTGTAACACAGGAAAAATCTACTAACGACGAACCTAATACTCACCGGGGCCTCGTGATAAAACGGAATCGAGCTCAAAGTGTACACTAGCATTATGGGCGTTGCCGATTATCGTCGTTCTGTTCTACAGGGCTCGCCTGCTGGTCGTGTGGTACAACGTTTGCAATTAACCGGCCGGTTGTTGAATTGGTTTTAAACGGTATCCTTCGCACGACTTAATTCCGCGACGGTCAAGCTCGTAACAACGAGCTATATAAATGAGAATTTCATTACGGTGGCGAACAAGGATTCGACGACGAAGAGAGAAACAGAAAGAGACTGAGTGAGTGTGTGAGAGGGAAAGAAAGAAAGAAAGAGAGGAGAAAAAAGAAGAAAAACGGTAGAAACGACGGTAGCGGCGTAGCTCTCTTATTTCATTAGCCAATCGAGCACAAATAAGAAGTAGCAAAGCGGAGTCTGAAGCCAGGTGACTCACGGGCCGGGTTAGCGAGCACGCGAGACCCGATTGCTTCTAAATAACGATGCATACACTGTGTACAGTGTACGGGTACCCGACGAGAAACAGCCTGAACTTATAGGCCACCTTGCAGATCGCGTGGCCGACCAAGCGTTTTACAAACTTTACCTTGTGTAATAACTGTATGTAACTTTTTCATACGATCCTAGAGGCCCGGCCCTATCGCCGTACTTCGGCGGACAACTTTCCCGAACGTACGTGAATTATAGATTTCCGACGAGCCTCGCAGAATATCGCTCTATATCAAGTTGGCTATAAGAAGACATTCTCGATCGGGGGTTTAATGAATCGACATTTTTAGAAAAATGTAATGCTTCGCGTATTGTACAATTAGATATGTATGTGATACCGGAAGCAAACGAGATAACAAAGTTAGCCCTAGGAGTATACCGACGGTTCCATTAGTCCCACCAACAATGGCGTTCCACGATAGAAATGTTGACAAGAAACTTCTATAAATTATAGAAAACATGTGATCAATACCTTCTCTGCCTCGTAAGAAACTCCTTTCTTTTCTCAATGAGAATATCCCCTTGAATGCGTGAAGGACCGAGCACGTGTGTCCAAGTATTTATCACTTTTTCGTCGTGTTGCACTACCACTAGTGTGGCTCGACAAGTTAAGAAAAGATTCTCAAGTGGGAGAAGATTAGCCTTGCCCTTACTCCCACTACCAGTTGGTTCCGACTGTTATGCTTGAAGGTAAAAATGATGAATCTGTAAACCCAGCTGGGTCACACATAGAGATTCGATTTCAGCGGTCAACAAAGTCCATATCATGACCCTTTCTACATTAGTCACAATTCTAAACCAGTTCTTGAAAACACCCTCAAGTACTCAAAGATGGTTCTAAGCCAAATAACCCTACCTGGCCTGGGGTCTACAAAAGGAGCATCTGTTTCGGCCCCAATCGGTTTACCGCCTCATGCTGTATCGTTATCCTCGTGTACACATGACATCGTCCGCGTGGTCCGCCGTGGGCCGAGTGGCAACACCCGAAACACGATTTCGGCCGAGAACCAGAGGTGTTCCACCCTCGAAATCACCGCGCGCGCGTTGCACTTCGCGGTGTCACCTTGAGAGACCACGGGTACCGTCCCTAAGCCGCCCGCGGGTTGAACGTGCCGAAGAGACGTACAAAGAAACAGTACGGGGGAACTGGTTCGGCGAAGTCGAGCGAGCGTTCTCGGGCTCGCGCGACATGCACCACGACGACGACGAACAATACGATATTCTAGGAGGAAACGGTGCAGAAGTCGGTTGGAGGCGGGAGAAGGAGACGAGGTATAGTAGGGGGGGGCCAGAGGGCAAGGAGGAGAAGAAGACGGCAGGAGGGCCGTGGCAGAGCACGTGAAAGGCGATTTAAAGGGAAAAAGGAGGAGGTGGTGGTGGCCTTTAAAAAAAAAAGAAGCAGAAGAAGGAAGGAACATGGCGAACCGGTCGCAGCCTCCATTCGTCAGCTGGGTGCTCAGCTGCAGGCCGGGCGCGGTGACCTCGGGACGGAACTTCACGGAAAACCGAGTAAATTTGCAAGCAATAACGGTGTCACGCCACGTATAATACGCGAGGCATCGCGTCGTCCTTCCTTCTCATCGGTAATTTAACGCGCTTTCGTGCCACACACGCAATCGGCCGCGTCAGCTCGCACGAATACATCCTCCCCTTCCTCCTCTCTGTTCCCTCGGACTTTTTTAAATGTCTACGATACACGAGGTTCCTCTGACCCCGGGCGACACTGGAAACGCGGTCATCGGTCGCCTTACAAGTGATCGAAAGTACACCCCGACCGACTGACAGTTCAACGACATTCGCCTTTACCATTGCACCGAGGAATACGCTTTCCTTTGCCTAGCGGTTCCAACCGTGTACTCCCTACCCCGCGCTCCTATCGGCATCGATCGCGCATCGATTCCGATGGATTTCGAATCGAACCGAGCGAAACGGTCTCCAGAGATCGGTTCCAGAGCGATTCGCACAGAACCGTTTCTCGATGGATTCGCGTTGTTGCCAGGGCCCGCGTTTAGCCGGCAAGGATTACGAACCGCTCATTGATCAAACGCGAATTAATTTATGGACGAGTAAGGGGATCGAGAACGACACGTACGGAATTGTTGGTTACATTTAGAATTATTTTCACCGGACTGTCAGATTCCAAAGACATCGCGAATCACCGAGAGACACTATACCACCGAATGGGTTGAATGATTGACTCGAGCCTGTTCACCGGTATATCATTTACCTTTTTTCGGTTTTTAATGTAGAGTTGGACTGAAAAAGTGGACGGTAAACGCATCGAGAGAACGAGGAACCAATCAATGCTCGTATCATTTTTTTTTTCTAAAGATCGTGGAACAGCGAAACGTTCACTGACAATCGGTACACTATAAAGATAGTCGCTGAAACGAGCTGTAAAAACGACAGACACTCACGGAATATCACAGTTTAGACAAAAGAGGTTACTCAGAAAGAGGAGAGGAATCACCGCTGTGTGTCATGAGAAAACCGTTCTGTGTTTCCATCGAGTGAACAGATCACAAGCTATCGCGAGCGATGGAAAGTGGAAATTCGAACGACGAAGTACGACGAAAAAAAGGGATGAACGTTTTTGAAAGAAACAACGTAAACCGGTCGGTGCATTCGTTCATCAGCTGAGAGCCCAGCTGAACCCAGCGGCCGCTGTAACCTCAACTTTTCTAATGGGCTGTGTTCTGTGGTGAACGGTTAATTCTCGCAGCGCTTATGTCCCGCTAATAAAGAAAATGCTGAAATACCTTAGTAGACAGGTTTCATCGACGGGCGAACGACGTAACGCGCGAAAACACTGACTTTCCGGGGATAAAACTTTTTGAAAGCCCACTCACAATGGAATCTTCCAGTAGACTGGCCGAGCCGGCAAGCCGTTCCCTCTTGCGTGCACACCCACCGTTTCCCGCGGTGTCCTGTGTTTTACACCGCCAGGGCCTTCTTTCATAGATCGTTTTGATTTTCAGAGGAACCAAACACTCCGCAACGAAGCTGGGCCGTCTATTCGTCACGTCAGAAAACTCTTATTTGCAGCAGAAACGCGGCAGTGCACATACCGCTGACAGTTCCCGAGCTGTCACTTCTCGACGACCGCGGACATGCCGCCATCTTATGTCCTAACCGTGAAACGCCACGCGATTTGAATGTACCGCGCTTCGACCACCTAGCAACAAGATCAATAGACTAACTAACGGCGAATCGAATAGCACCCAATGTATCATATAGCGGTCCTATTAATTATTTAATAAAGCCTATGTCCACGAACGTGCAAGTTTCTTTTCTTCTTCGTTTTCGACCCTCCTCCGACGAGTGCTATTCTCGACGATGACAGGATTTCCTGCTGGCTCGTTCAAATTCTGTGAAACCGGAAGTTAAGAAACTGTATTATTCTTTCAATACGCTAAGTAACTGGCCGGGTTATTTTTAAATTCCTGTTATTCTACGTGTATGTAAATAACTGAACGGAAAAAATAGATTTTCGTTTCAATTTTTATTATAACAACCTCGTTCCTCTAGTACAAAAAATCGAATGTCCTCACGATCATTTACAAGATATAACAACGTATTTTACAAATGTTATTTTGTTACACAACTTTCATACATTCGGCAACGCTAATTTTTCCCTTACTTTCGTAATTGTTCTGCTCTCTGCCAGTCTTGATTTGCTCGGTGGTCAACGTCAGAATTCTATCTCGCTCTTTTAATGTGGGAATATAAACGGGTTGCTTACACTGCTCGCTCTCACGACACCGATCGTGATTTGTACCTTATTTTTCGTTCTATTCCTTGTAAAAAGCACACGGTTGCACTCACGCACGCAAACACTTTTTCCATCGTGGCCTAAATGGTTCATTTTCGTCGCATCTACGTGACACGCAGATTCCCGAGAACCTACCACCAGGTGGTAGCAACGTTAAAACTGTACAAAAGTCACAAAACTTCTGTGCACTTACAAAGGATCGATTGTCGATGCGAGTTCTATTCCTAAACCACGAGAAAGTTATTTGCAATACCGTAAAACCGGATCAATTTTACGTAATGATGAGGAAAGGCAAGACTCTAACTTACAAAGAACGAGACGAGTATTTCGGATAATGAAAGAAAAGTAAATTCTTGCATTTAAATAGAGATATGAATCGTAAATACGCTGCAAAAGCAACTTTTAGTTGGCACTAGTCTATTCTTTCCTGGAGTCTTTGGGCGATTGCTGCGACCAACGCTGCACCCTTTCCGCTTCCGTCTTCGGCATGAATTATCTTGAACTAGATATATTACCGATAATTAATTGACGTTGTAAACATAATTGTTTATAGACAGTATGAAGTCATTTTACCTTGTGATCAGGAGCTAGTAATGGAATGTATTGCTTAATCCAGGTTTCCAGTCTGGGATGATGCTTGTAGAGGGATCCATCTACAGCAATTGTCACGTGCTCCTTATCGATTCGTTTCAGTAAAACCGCAAGACCTTAAACATTAAGTAATACATGTTTTATTGCTTTGCTTTGTTGTACTGACTGCTTTTTATGCAGATATAAACTTACATATCGATACAAGGAGCGCTGCACGATTGGACACTACCTCGCAGACGTATTGAACAACCTTCACGTCCTCTTCATCCGGGACGATATTGAACTTCCTCAAGGCTTCTATCGTGTTGCTGCTACCGCCGTCCACGGAGTCTCTGCATTTCAATATCCACCGAAATTAACAATTTGCACCCTTAAAATAACCCAGTGATGTACTGTTTTGTTCGAGACTACTTACTGTTCAATGTCTGAAACCAAATCGCTTGTGAGATTTCCAGGAATCAGAATACATCCCGGCGTGTGTTCTCCTATGAATAAGAATCCTTCTTTGGTTAACCTCGCGAGAATCACTCGCACGAGCTCGCCTAAATATTTACCGCTAATGTACTTTTCAAACCTGAACGTTGAAAAAATAGACATAATAAGTTGATTAAATAGTAGACATTTTCTATACGTTTTCTTTAAATGATTTCTGGTACTCACGTGAATGAATTCACAATAAGAGAATTCGCGTCGTTCTCGCGATCATAGTCTGTCTTGATGAAATCCAGAACGCCGTTATCTCCGAATGCACCCCATTCGATATCGATAATAACCTTGAATACACATAACGTATACAATATTCAACCAGTATTTTGTATTCTTAACAATAAACGGGTATAACAAACAAACAAATTACTTCACGTTCTCCGTGTCGTTCGGTCTCCCAATGCTCGACTCGATCCGCTCGTTCAAGATAACAAGCATTGCTTCCGGTACCCAATATGAGACCAATTGCTGTATCAGGATCTAAGGTTGATCCCTGAACCAACGTTCCTGTGGTGTCGTTCAATACGGCGACAACCTTCACTTTGGTATCGCCGCGACGGTCCAAAGCTTCGCGTAACAATTTCACGGCATCCTCGTTGACAGCGTCAGGGCAATTGAAGGTTTTCGTCCAGGTCACTAGTGTTCCAATGTCCAACGAATGTTGGGTCATAGGGAACGAGAAGGTGAAACCTGTCGAGATAACGTGCAAAACATTACAACCCGGTGTTTGTGTACATTTATGATGTTACAAGGGAAACATATTTCACGGAGCGTGTCTTCAGCGTTATTCACGTTTGAATAATGATCGATCGCGTGTGAGATTATGTACGATCTATGTTTGATTAACAACGAGTATCAGACACTTGAATGTGTAAAATCAATGTGAAACACGACGGCACTCGAGAGTCGATAGATAGTATGAAGTGCTTGAAAGCATTGCATACTGTAACAATGCTCGAGTCGCGCGCACGCGTTAATGCTCCTCGAAATGGAACAATATAATGTTTGAAGTCACGGATAACAGCACAGAAATTGTTTACGAGAAACCACGGTGAATACAGGACGATAATTAAAAGTCACATGCGTGATTCCCCCCTTATGTACAATGGCGCCAATTTACCAAGGGGAAGCTCTACGTCCTGAAGACCCAACTCGATGACGAAATTGCAGACGCATTCGGCGAGATAATCAAACAGACGAATTGCCGAGCCCACTCTCAGATCGGAGCTAATATGATACTTCTTCACTTCTTCCCGTATCGGTATCCCTTGCGCCAGCTCCAACAAAAGCACCCGGAAGTTTGTACCTCCTAGATCCAGGGCCAAATACATGCCTTCCTCTGCAAAAAATCATCACAGGACCAAATGAAAATTAATTTCCGAAAAATCATACAACTGTCGTTTCATTCGTTAAAACTGTAATCATCGCGATAATTTCGATATATAGAACATAGAAAGTTGCTCGCGATCGTGAGTATACAACAGGGCAATAATCGATAGCCTAAGAGCAACACTTATCGTGTTTCGTAAAAAAGAAAAAAAGTTTTATCAAACGTTTGAACCGTTACACGCGACGTAATGACATCAGGCCACAATGAACAAAAAAAAAGGGAAAGAAAAAACGGAAGAAACAGATAAAGACTGTCGTAACAACCTGTGCCATCGAGTAGTTCCGGAACATAAGTGTTCTCCATCTGCAGCGACGACGGCTGCAGATGAATCCCTTTGTTCATTTCAGACAAGAACACATCTTGGATTTTCCTGACTGTCCCTGGGGAAAAGTGCAGCTTCGCCAATTTCTGCTCGATCTGCAAAACATAATCCTTTTAAAATTACACATCTAGCGTGGACCAATTATTATCGTCGCAGCGGGGTAGGACTTTTCCACGGTCTATAAATCATACGTCAGAACCTCGAAAAATAATTCTTCCAGAGATCGCGAAACATTCTCGCCGCCGCGATCCACCACGATGCCCGTCGATGTTTACTAGGTTTTCTCTTACGTGATCCCTAATGTGATTCTAACAGACGATCCTGCACACAAGTTCGCAAACGGAGACGACGATGGATGGACTCTATTCCAACAATTAGACTCTCGACGACAAGAGACTGCGCACATACAAGAGCCAGTAACTTCAATCGAAACGGACAATCTTACGCGGCGTACAATTAACGCTATCCCCGGCGCTCGAGTTTACATAATAAGTGTTACGTTACCATTGCGAAAACGATTAATAGATTCAACGATTCTCTGCCGTGTACGGTACATCGTTTTTCGATCTTTTTTCTCCTCCTTGCCTTGGTATCGTCAATCAACGACATCCAGACCGCACAGTGAACATCCAACATTCCAGTGACATTTTGCCAAAAAATCAGCTTTCTCATATCGATATCTACTTAGTTTGCATTGCTTCCTAAATGTCCCTCAATCGCTATAAATATATTCTTATGATTATAATATTTTTTTATTCAGTCTACCTGTAACCTGACATTCCCATATTATTCAGTCCAAGTTTCATACCAATACCTCCTATGTTTCAAAAGTTATACAAAAATCTCATTGAATTTCTCATTCGTCACGAGAGCAAAAAGATTCGCCAAGCGCGATCGAAAACACGACGTCCCCCCGCGACACCAGATAATACTAATGTTTCAATTTCCTCGAAGGTAAACCGGTTGCATTCGCGCAAACATCGCCACACGGCCTGACTGGCACACCATAAAAATTCCGGTAACCGATATTGGAACCGGCGCGCAACGGCCAGTGAAAGACAGGGAAAAAAATAATCGAGAAACAACGAAGTATACATATACTCGCAGATCTCTAATAATTCCATCAGGACGATCGTTATGTGCCATCGTCGACGGTGTTATCCGCGAAACTCAGTTTTTATTTCCGTTTCCGCGTAAATAAGCCGAAGGAGATTATAGTCTGAAGGTATTAATGTCGCAAGCAGAGACAGGTGTTAAATAACGGAGCAGTTACAAATTTATTGCTTTGTCGCGAATCGAATTGAACATTACGCGATTAACGTGAATTAATTTATTGCGACGGTTTTCTTCTAATCTCTTCCACCCGATAACGTATCTCGGAAAATATGATAATAAAAAAAAAAAAGAAGAAGAAACGGCGCAGATGACGCAACGCGGAATAATAGGGAACCAGGTAATCGGCCGTGACATTGCGCCAGTCTGTCGTCAATCGAATTGCAAAAAAACCAGTGCGTGGGTCGGCGTCCTGTTGTTACATCGTTCGACCGACGTGATGGGAACTCTATGCGAAATATTTACCAACTAAGCCGATGAAATTCGTCTTGACGATTTTGGACGTATGGACAGTGTTCGAACTTGTACAGTTTGACAGACAATCAAAAACGTCTTAATATATTGGGTTTTATACAGGTTTTGATTCTCTGTCAGGATGTAGGGGATGGTTGCCGAATTTAGACCATCGCCTAGGTTGGACCACTAGTGCAACCTGTCGTGTGAACAAGCAATCTGCACTGTATGATGGACAATATGTGTACGATAATGGTGATTACATTAACAAACTTAATAAAAAGTGGCACATATTGTTTATCGTACGGTATAAATTGCTTACACATGACAAATTACAGTGGTGGTCGAACCTAGTCTAACTTTGCCCTTACATTGAACACATATACGAAAGTTTTAAGTTGAGTGTCAAAAAATATTCAAAATAAAACAAATCGAATGAGTGGTGAGCTTTTTGTCCGTTGCTGTATGTATAAAAGAATTTTGATTTAGGCATCGGTAACGACAGGACATTATACCAGCCGGTGCGAATGTTAACCGCAAGGATATATACATATACGTAAATAAACATATAAGTCGAACTATATTAACCGCATCATTTCATGGATTTCGAATTCCAGGGCGTCCGTATCGGCGATGATAAACCTGCTCGAACATCTGAAGCCTTTATTAACGCGGAATTACCCTATGATAACCTTATGACTTAGTGGTACGATAAGTCGATGATTTATATGTGCGTTCGCGACTATAACGATAAATCGTCGAATCTCACTTACTATACCTTGAATCTAGTATGGTCTCGTTGTTTACGAAAGTATGAATCTTAACTCCGTCGCATTAAATCGCCCTTTGTTTTTCTCAGTCACCTCTCTCTCGTAAAACTTCCGTTTGAGTTTCGTCTACATCGCTCCTAGTGGAGAATCGAATCGGAACGCGTCCGACGACTTTCGTATCTCCTTACAATAAATTAAAACTCTTCGTTCTTTTTTTTTTTCAACGTTTTCGATCGACCGGTTATGTAATTGGCACCACATGTCTCCGAGTAAACGAAGAAGCCCGGCGTTCCAAAGCCGAAGTTAATTGCCCCCGGACGCGCAGCATCGCCATGGAGATTGGTGCGAGCTAAAAGCGAAAGTGTCTATCCGCGAGCGGATCGATCGGTGTCAGTAAACTCTTAACGAGAGTGTCGCAAGGTTAAGGACTCACGCTCGCTGGTTTGCCGTTCGTTTCTTGCATCGGTAATGATTCAACGTTGTCGTCATTGCCCGAGCAGAGATCGATCAATTATGTAAGTACGTCGCGCGATAAACGCTCTGACTGAAAAATACATTGTCGAAGGAGACTCGACAGAACTAACGGTGGTCGCACGAGTCTCTTAGAACCGATTTTATACGATTTTTCTTGCCGGAGCAACGCATCCGAAATGGTACGCAGTTACGAGTAAGATTTTCGAGCAGAAAACGACAGACATAAGCGAATTCATTATCGAGATAAAGAGTTTCGAATAACGAATGAAAGGTGAAAAAGTACCTCGTCACTTTTAATTGCTTAAACGTGGAAATTCTAAAATTTTTTGATCAAATGATACTTCTTTTTGCATGAGTCGACAGTAGGCAAACAATTATTTATACTCATTTATTAATGTATAAGGCACAGAATGCCCTTGGATAATGTAGCTTTTCACTATGTATTATTCGAATAAAATTGTGCCCAGCTCTGGGAAACGGATACTGTAAGTTCGGGTAACTTTGACCCAGTCAGGGGTACCTTTGTCCCAAAGTCAGACAATTATCGTTTTCGACTTTGCAGTTTTTCTGCGAGTATTTCAACGTGAAATACCTCATCGCGTAAAAATCAATTTAATTTAATAATAATAGTAATTTATTGTAACGGGTGTAAATTCGACTACTATGTATACATTCTAATAACGGAAAGAAAGAAGATTAAAACTAAAAGGAACAAAAAAGAAATGAAAAAAATATATACAAAATGCATACTACATATACATAGTAATATGCTGCTGCGATTAATGGAAAACAAAAGTTGTAAAAATTGCAAACCTGCCAAATGGAAAATGATAATTTTCTGACTCGGAATAAAGTTACCACCCTGACTGAGTCAAAGTTTATCTCTATCACAAAGAAGCTTCATGGTCTCTCTATTATGCGTGTTTAAAGGGCTGTCAGGTTCACGGTCGATGGATCCCACGATCGATCCGATAAACGGGGCCAGTCTGTAGAAACATTAGAAAATCAACGGACTCCGTGTACACGTCTCGTAACATCAATCTCAATAGCATCGATACATCGAACTATTCTGCGTAATCGTTTCTCATCGTAAGATCATTAACGAGCGTAGCGACAAGAAATCTCGTGTCTTTACCCGTTGACCGTTAATTGTACACGATCGTGTAAGATTCGCGGATGTTCCATTTACGAAAACTTCCCCATTAACATCGGAGACGTTTGGAACGCGTTTGTTGATTTTCATGATTTTCCTTTGTTCAATCGGACCGCTCACCTTTTGCCGCCTGACGTCGTCCGAGAGCACGAGCGGCGATACAGCGAGTAGGTCCATGTTTTTATCGGGCTCTTGATTCACTGAAATTAAACGGAAAAGAAAATTTATAATATATATATATATATATATAATTTTAAATTTATATTTTAATATCCACAACACCGAACCAGGCCAATAATAATTATACAGAGCCCGACGAAATTATTCAGTTAAAGTTGTGCCGCATCGCGTAAAAATATCGCCAGTTTCCGCCTGATAAATGTCATACCACGAGGGCACGCAACGCGCGTGCTCACCTTGTCGTTGCAGCGACGTTATCTTCCGATTGAATATATTTTTCGCGACCGAGTATGAATGAATCCACGAGAGCGCGTGTCGTGGCGATAAGACGTAACCGGCCTGGAGGAGGTGTGTTTCGTCGCGAGCGCGTGGACGCCTACTGAAGATGCCGCGAGTTAAAGAGATCGGTGGTACTGTTCGGTTTACTATTTCCAAGTTACTTCATCTTCTTCTTTTTTTTTTTTTTTTTTTTTTTTTTCCCCCTTTCCCCCCTTTTTAGGCCGGGAGTACGGAGTACGTGATAACGCCGTGGCGAACTTATTTAATGAAAAGTTGAAAGTCCACGGTATTTTATAACCCGCGAGATAACGGGACCGCGCAATCACAACAGGCTCCGTGAGTTACAGCATATCAGCGGAGAAGAAGAAAACGCGCCTCGCGGAGGAGTGTGTGTATATACACCCTGAACCGTGTTGTTTGCGTCCTTTTCATAACGATCAAGCGCATAATTACCAATGCGATTGCGCTCGGCTCGCGTCGTCATTTGAGTTGGAACGATAGCACACCACGTCGCCGTCGTCGATCATCGAAGACGATATCATCGAGGGAGACTGAATGATTGATTCAACGAACCCCGTGTACAACGATTGTTCTGTCGCGACAGCGCAATCTTTGTCTAGTCTAACCGACCAGACGGAAAACAACGTAAGTTACGACGAGCAGACGCGGTCGGACTATCTCGCGGGGGAAAAACCGTTTCCACGGTATGCATATCGACCAACGCCGAGGGATGAATAGCGGCGCTCTAGATTTCGCTTGGTACACGCCAAGAAATTACAAGACGCTTGACCGACATTATTATAGGGGCGTACACTTTGCTGCCCTACAGGTTATCGACTATCGTAACATTATCGCGTGGGTTCATTGATAAACACACGTGCTATCTCCCGCGTTCCTTTCATAATTCGACCCGATCAGATCCAAGGACCTTGACAGAGATGCCTTTATTTTTATGCAGATTCGTCGGGTTGTTGCATATGTGCACGTTTCGCGAAAGAAAATAGAAGAAAGAAATGTATTTAGATAGTTAACAAATATTCTTGTACTGTTTCTAGTAACGTAACATATAATTTCGATGACTATTCATTAGAGAGTTTTCTTTTTTCGGTCTCTTGAGAGTCTCGATAAATTTGACAGTTTCGATCGGAA